TCCTTCCTTCATATGCCCTGCATTCTTCAGTTTGCATACAGCTCGCCTTATGGTTAAAGACCGATGCAAAGTGAGAGTTGAGTAATTCCACTTTGTCCATCCCTTGTTAAGGCTTGACCGTCTTCTCCTAGCAATGAGCTTACTCCATCCCTGTTCTTCTTTTTGCTCCGAACATAGGCATAGAAATTTTTCTTGTTGTTTTTAGCATCCTTCGCAAGCCTCAGTTCCATCTGCGCTTTAGCCTTTCTGACACATCCCTACAGATTGAAGCCTGCTTCTTGTACTCACCCTCAGTAATCTGACCCTCCTTCCATTTCCTGTATATTTCCCTTTTTAGTCTCAGCTCTTCAGAGTTCCTTGTTCAGCCACCTCAGCTTCATTACCCATCTCCCACCTTTCTTTCTTACTGGAACAGTTTGCGATTGTGCCTTAAGCACTTCATTTTTCAGCATCACCCATCCTTCCTGTGCAGATTTCCCCCTCAGCATTTCCAGCCATGGAACCCTACCTAATATTTCTCTGAGTTTTTTGAAATCAGCTTTCCTGAAGTCCAGGATACGAGTCCTACTATGTCCTGGTTTCACATCCTTCTCTATGTCAAATTCCAAGCTGACATGGTCACTATTCCCCAAGGATCCCACAACATTCACTTCATCAAGCAGTTCTTCCCTGTTAGTCAGGATTAAATCTAGGATAGCAGATCTTCTGGTTCCCACCTCCACCTTCTGAGAGATGAAGTTGTCCGCAAGACTATTCAAGAATCTGCGGGATGCCCCATGTCTAGTGAGTTAGATTTCCAGCAAATATCTGGATAGTTGAAATCTCCCATCTACATCCTGTCTCTGTGAAAGTTTAGCAAGCTTTTCTACAAATGCATCATCCAGTTCCTCTGGTTGGTTTGGAGGTCTGTAGTATACCCCCACAACAATTTCCCCCTCCTTCCCCCCTGCTCTATCCTTACCCACACACTTTCAACAGGGCAACTCTCAAAATCCTGAATTTCAGTGCAAGCGTATTCATTCTTGACCTATAGTGCCACACCACCTCCTTTTTTGCTTATTCTGTTCTGTTTAAACAAGGTATATCCTTCAATCACTGTGCTCCATATATGAGACTCATCCCTCCAAGTCTCAGCGATACCTATCAGATCATACTTACTTTCCACTATATGAAGTTCAAGTTCCTCCTGTTTATTTCCCATACTCTGTGCATTAGTATAAAGACATCACAGATTACAGACATCCTTTCCTACCGTAGGTCCCTTTGATTTTACACGGAAATTACTGAATTCATCTCTCTCCCGTTCATTCATTCTCTGGTCACTCTCCTTCTTGAACTTAGTGTTGGGGATGCCGCACAACATCAGGCTTTTTCTTCCCACCCCCGATGTCTTCAGTTTAAAGCCCTCCTGATCAGGTTCACAAGTCTTCCAGCAAAGACATTCCTCCCATTCTTTGTGGCCCTCAACAGGTAAAATGGAGGAGAATACCACCTGTGCCCCCAAATCTTTCACCTTCTTGCACAGAGCCTCATAGTCTTTGGAGATCTATTCAAGGTTTCTTCGGGCCGTATCATTTGTTCTCACATGGATCAGCAGGAGCAGGTAGCAATCAGAGGTCTTGACCAGTCTTGGTATTCTCTCAGTCACATCTCGGATACATGCTCCAGGAAGACAACAAACCTCTCAAGATTCCTTGTCCGGAAATCCTTTTGATCTCGGAGTGTGCTATTCTGATCTTCCATCATCAGAAGCAGGTGGTATCGATTTTGCAGCTCCACTGGCTGTGTTTCCTGATCATCTTACTCCTCAAGGTCACATTCTTCCACTCACCCACCTGTTCCTTTTTACTTCCTTCCTCTTGCTCAGGATTTGCTAGCTCTTGCCGTTCTCTCAGGAGCCCCTCTTCCTTTACATCTAAAAAGCTTTCTACCTCCCTGATGTTCCTCAGTGTACAGATTTGTGCCTCAAGGTCTCCCACCTTCTCCTCAAGCATTCTTATAAGCTTGCACTTGCAGCATGTGTAATGCATTTCATGGCATGGCAGAAAAATGATCATGGCGCAACCCACGCAGGTCACTGGAATAGATCCTTCGTTATCCATCTTCCTTGGAGCAATACTATCTTCTACAGCCTCAGGAACTTTCCTCAAACTCGGACGTAAACTCTTGTTGTGGTAATGTACCCTGAAAACTAAGACTGACCAAATGGCTACCTTGCCAGCAATTCTCTCCCCAGAACTCAGTAGCAGCCCTCTACTCAGGTTCTTACAAGGGCTCCAAGCAAGACCCACAGGCTACGACACATGGGGCAAGAGCCTAAGGCTGACGCCTCAGGCGAGGAGCAGCCTTTTGTTTCAAAAGGCCCCTTCCTGCCCAGCACAGCAGAGCCCAGCACAATATGGGGGGGGGCTTGCAATCAACAGCACTCCACAGCAACTCACTCAGCCTCCAACAACCCCCAAAGCACAAACAGCCCCAAAGAGACTTAAACAGAACCACTCTCTATCAGGCTACAAAGAACCCAACTCTCTCTCAGCTCCCACACAGCAGCTAGGAAGGCAAAGGGAGAAAGAAAAATCCCCAACCTTCTATCAACAACCCACCACGTGCTCTTCACTCCTTGCCTCAGCCCAACTGACTCAGTTACGATCCATTGTAATCCCTAAACCTAAGTTCTACTACCTAGTCCACCTTGTTATAACTGTGCATGGTATGACTCTTCATACTGCAGTTATAGGTATAGTTCACATATAACCCCATCTTTTTGTTGTACATAAACCATAGCATGGAAGTGAGCCTTGGGCTCATGCTGTCATATAATGAGTTGAACCTTTAGGGCTGTCCAGGTAAACGAATAGCTCCTGTTTGTGTATCTCATCTAATCCTTTTTCATGGAGGATAGTGCATGTGAATGAGACTTAAACATGTTTATGAGCCTGAACTCATACTGAAGGTTCTATGAGCTATGAGGAAATGTGAGTACTTCTCTGAATTCCAAACATACTGTGTCCTTGTGACCAGCACTGTCTTGGAGAAACCTCAGAGATACATCTGACCGTTCTGGATCTCAAATGAGCCATATAAGGGCTTTGCTTATTGTATTAAAAAGCTGTAACCAATTCAGTAGAAGTTATTTATCAGAAATACTTTACATCACTACTCTCTGGAGTTAACAATGCAATCCTAATTAGGGTCACACCTTTTTAAGCCCACTGACTTCAACAGGATTGCACAAATTACACTTTTCTAAGTACACTGGGAATAAAGCCCTATTGAATAAAATGGGACTTACTTCTGAAGGGGCCTGCTTAGGATTTCTAAATGACCATTTACTAAACACCTTACTCTGCACTGAAATTTAGGAATGCCAGTGGGCCTCCAAACTTCTGACTAAAAAAACTACCCATTTTTGACTATGATGGTTAACGGCATGCGATGAATCTGTCCCACTTTGAGCTCTCTAGAGATAAGAGCAGTCATAAAGGAAGCTATATTACTTATTCCATTTATTATTTTGTTGTTAAGTGCCAGAAACAGCATTCCCTTTCCCACCCCCCACCCCTGCATTGTTACCAATTGTCAAAGTTTTGGAGGAGATCTTCGCATCTTTGACCAAGAGGATACGGATCAGGCTGGCAGCCATAAGCAGCAACTCTGAGTCGCACATCTGCAGCAAGAACAGAGTATAGTTTGCTTTGGTCCAGAAACTGGCATTTAAGAACCACTTCCAAAGGTCTGACATGGACTGCTTCAGTGTCTGCAGATTTAGTGCCCGATTCAAGGTGGAAGATGTTTGGAAGCTGGAAGTGATGGAAGAACAGCTGTAAATGAAATCCTTGCTGTAGGTGGACTTCAAGAGGTTCCAGGTATATTTCAGCAGGTCTTGATTTTTGAATCTTTTTATGATTCCCACTACAAATTGTCTCTGAGTAGCAGAGCTGGCTCTTGTGAACCATTCTCGGGTAGCAAAAATTTTCCAGGACAAGATGCAAGATTTGCAGCTTTGGCAAACAGGAACCAAGTCAGTTTGTTTCTCACACCGTAGGTCGGGAGTGTAGTCTAGTTTATATTCCAAGATTTCTGGTATGGTTGGTTCTGTCTTCACTGGAATCTTCATTGTGCCAGCTCCTCTTTTAGAAAAAGAGACAGTGAGAGACACAGAGCTCCCTAGTTACCTCCTTTTACACTGTTCGGTTGTAATTGTAAATCTCCTTCCAGAGAACAGACCAGAGTATGTAACAAGTGTCGGAGATACGAACTGCAATCCTTCTGTTTGTAGAACTCTCTCTTTTTCAGAACTCCTAGGAGATACTGTTGCTACGGTAGTTCTCCTACAATGTGCTCAAGCACAAAACAGTAACTACCATAATGTATTGTTTCTAATAGACTAACAGCAAAATTCTAAACCACTGAAGTAGGATTGCTCTGCAAAAGTTATATTTCTGCATCAAGATTTGAGTGGAAAGACAGGTAAAGATAAAAGATCTCTCTGGTTCAGCATAGCATCACTGCTTAGTAAGATTTTTTAAAATTCTAAGAAGCAGTATAGGCTTGCCAGGTCTGGCTTGAGAAATCCTTGAAGATTTTGTAGTTGAAGCCTGAAAAGGGTTGGGGAGAGAGGAGACCTCAGGAGGATATAATGCCATAAAGTTCATTCCCAAACCAAATATTTTCTCCAGGGGAACTGAATGATCTCTGTCATCTTGAGATCAGTTGGAATTCCTGGTCCGCTGAACACAAGGGTGCATGACCTGTGACAGTTGTTTATTTTGGGGTGGGGAGGGCATGAGGCCATACCAGTTCTTGTACAAATCTCCTTTGAAATACAGGCCTGTTGGTGATTGTCCAAATAGAAGCTTGTGGCACCAGAAGCTGCATCCTATATCACACTCTGTAGTGTGGGGATGTGGCACTTGGAGTGGTCCAAAGATTTTTTCGGGGGGATGCAGCTAGGTTTGCCATTCCCCTGATGGAGCAGAGGTCCATCAGTGGCTATTAGCCACAAGGTATAGATAGGGGCTCTGGGGCAAGTGATGCTCTGTCTTCTTGGCGCTTGGGGGGGTCAACAGTGGGAGGGCTTCTAATGTCCTGGCCCCACTGGTGGACCTCCTAATGGCACTGGTATTTCTGGCCACTGTGTGACATAGAGTTTTGGACTGGATGGGCCTTTGGCCTGATCCAACATTGGCGTCTCTTACGTTCTTATGTTCACCCCCATGTTCCACGAACACACCCCCTTCAAGAGGATATATACTGTTTCCTGGTCCAAAGCACAGTTCTTGTGCCAGCTGCCCCAAAGTGCAGCACCACAAGATTCAATCTGGGGTACCACTAAAAAGGCCTGTTTTTCAAACTACATTGGAATAAGGAACCACTCCCAGTGAGGTGCTGGCAGGACAATCACACAAGCAGACCTTTGGGCAAAGATCATTCCATTGCTGAATGAGAATTTACACTCCTCAGAGAAGCTTCAATTACTGCTAACAAACTGAGATTGCTGGATTTTAATTCATTCAAAAGTCCACAACAATGGATTCATCAGGGCTTAATGGATTCTTATCTCACCATAGATCGTAATGTTCCACACCCATGTCCAATCAAGCTGCTTAGGAAGCACACTGCAGCTTTGCATCCTGATTTCTTTCCTCTAAATAGTCGTTCCATCCTTTTATCTGGATATAACAACTCAAAGATTTCCATTCAAATTCTGTCTGAAAAGAGGAACTGTGACAGTTGAAAGCTCAGATTCCCAAAACCAAATGGATCTCAAAGGTGCTACTGTGGACAGTCTGTGTATGCGATTGCTCGTTGACTGGTGACTAGGCTACATCTGTCCATGGGATGCTTTGGGGGCTGAAACAGCTTACTAAACATAGCCCACAATGGCTATCTGAGGTAGGATTACTTTTTCAGACCTATTTCAGGAGTGTTGTGAATGTGTGTTTTCATATATGTAGGTTGGCTCTTTAAATCATTGTGACATCATCATCATCGATGTGTGGAAATGACTTGGAAAGCCAGAAAGGATGGTACTGCCTTTGAGAACAATATAATAAGTGCATTCTTACAACACTGTCCTTTGCTGCAGAAAGAGGGATATCGGAAGACCACTTCTATTTGGGGAACACGCCTGTTGGTGGTTCTCCAAATAGGAGCTTTTGGTGCCAGAGCCAGTGTTTAGACTGGGCACCACTGTATGTCTTCTTGCAGGGGACAGTCTCTGGAGTGTAGGGATGTGTCACTTGGGGTGGTCCAAAGATTTGGGGGGGGGGGTGCAGCCTGGCTCCAGTGTCTGCCTGTGTGATTGTCCTGGGGGCACCTCACTTTGGAGCACCTGGCAGAAGAAATGGGCTTTGGACCAGGAAGCATCATATGTCCCCTTGAAGGGTCCCCTGAATGTGGGAGTGTATGAAGTATGGCGGTCCAAATCTTATTTTGGGGTGGGGAGGACATGAGGCCATACCAGTTCCTTATTCAAATATTCTTTGGAATACAGACCTCTTGGAGGCACTCCAAATAGAAGCTTGTGGCACCAGAAGCAGTGTTTGGACCAGGCACCACTGTATGTCTTCTTGTAGGTAACAGTCTCTGTAGTGTGGGGATGTGGCACTTGGAGTGGTCCAAAGATTTTGGGGGGAATACAGCTAGGTTTGCCATTCCCCTGGGGGGGCAGGAGTTTGTCCACTTTTAGGGCCCCTAATCCGCCAGCCCAAATCTGGCTGGCGGGGGAACCCTGCCCCCAAAGTGCCACGTTTGGGCCAACATGCCCAGTGCGATGACGTTACCCGGAGCTGATATTATTGTGCAGGGCACGTTGCAGGAGGATACTCTATCATTCAAGGAAAGACTCAATGGTTTTTGCTCAAATGATAGAGGCCCTGCCCACAATGTGCCCTGCGCAATGACATCACTTCCAGGTAATGTCATCGTGTCATGCGTGTGAAGCGCACATACTGAAGATCTCCGAAAGAGGAAGAAGAACCTCCCCACCAGCAGCCAGGTAAGAGATGGCAACCCTAGATGCAGCTTGGACACAGTGTCTGCCTGTGTGATTGCCCTGGGGACACCTCACTTTGGAGTGGCTGGCACAAGAACTGGGCTTTGGACCAGGAAGTGCCATATGTCCCCTTGAAGGGGAGGGTCCCCTGAATGTGGGGGTATATGACATGGTGGTCCAAACCTTGTTTTAGGATGTAAACGGCAAGCAGTCAAACCAGTTTCTTATTCAAATCTCCTTTGAAATAGAGGCCTGTTGGTGGTTGTCCAAATAGAAGCTTGTGGAGCCAGAAGCAGTGTTTGGAGTGGGCACCAGTGTATGTCTTCTTGCAGGGGACAGTCACCAGAGTGTGGGGATGTGTCATTTGGGGTGTTCCAAAGATTGCTTTGTGGGTGCAACCAGGCCCCAGTGTCTGCCTGTGTTATTGTCCTAGGGGGCACCCGGCTTTCGAGCAGCTGGCACAAGAACCACTCTTTGGACCAGGAAACAGCACATGTCCCCTAGAAGGGGAGAATCCCATGAATGTGGGATTGTATGATATATGGTGCTGCAGATCTTATTTTGGGGTTCAGAACTTCAAACTCTCCTCAGTGTTTTTGGTATAATTCATGAATAAGTCACGAATAAGGAATGAAGAAGTAATGGGGAATAAAGAACCAATTTCAGCCTCCTGATTGTCAGACCCTTGAGTTAATCCACTATCAGTCTAATAGTCTTTTATGAAAGCTTTATTAGAAACAGAGATTTAGATGTGCACAAGAGAGATCCCTTGTTCAGACTGAAGAACAGATCAAGGGTTAGATATTGTATAGGCAAGCGGTCAGTGTCCCATAATGCAATGGTCATGCAGTGGGCATTCATCCTCGCCCCTCTTTCGTCCCCCCCCCTTCATACTACATAGCACTACAAAGTTTATCATTCAGCAACAGATGTTTTCTCCAAGGCTGAGAAGCTCCTGAATGGGCCAGACACCTTGGGGCCGTTCTCATGGGAAAGTTGTTACAAGCAAGCTAATCTAACTTTTACAACACACACACAGAGATATATTGCATTCACACTTACCCCTCCCATCCCTCAGAATTTATGGCAGAGAGGGTTAGAAAGAGATGAGACCAAATGGTCAAAGTGGCCCAAAAGTGAAAGTAAACTACAAAGGCGGAAACAAGTGAAACAAATGAATACATTAGTCAACATGACAATCAGCAGAGCCCGATTCTGACACTGATGGAGGCAGGGGGACATTTTTTCATATGTGTAATCAGAAAACAAACCAAATGCACAGGGACTGATGCGACTTCCTTGTAATACACTGACGAATATTGATTCAGGGGCAAATTGGCTATTAAGGCCATGGAGAACAGCTGTGATTCTAGAAGATCTCTAGGCCCCATTTGGAGGTTGGCAACCCTACTCCCACCTCCACCAAGTCCACTCTGGGCCTAGGCAAGTCTCATCTTCTGTGGGGTGGCCGTATGCAAACCAAGTCTCACCTTGCCTTGTGTGGGGCAGTTCTATGCACAATAACTCTCCCCTTACCTTGTGCTGGGTGGTCTTGTGTGAAATGAGTCCCATCTCAACTTGGGTGGCATTGTGTAAGATGAGGGGTGGGGCTGCTAGTCTCTAGTGCAGCCTGGAGTCCTTCTGGAGTTACAATTGATCCCCAGACTACAGAAATCAATTCCCATGGATGATGGGTGATTTAGAGAGTCGACTCTATGGCATTATACCCCAATGAAATCCCTCCC